GTTCCTGGAGTTTTCATTTTCTCGACTACTTTTAATCTTAGTATTATAAATATGTTAGAGGTACAAAACTGATTTCATGTTAAAAAATAAAAATCGGAAACACTAGACTGCATTATGTGTGGTTCACACTAGACATAATTCAAAACTCATTAGCTGAGTCCCCATACTTGGAGAGGTTTTGGCTCTACATTAAAAAAACTAGAAAACAAGGGTATATTTGTACATTTTAAATTCAGATGGAATGTTTAGAGGATGTATAACACTTTTTATTTTTGATTAGTTGATGACATAACCAGTGCTGATGTGTCAGATTAAAGGATTGCTACCAAACTTGAAGGGTTATCTTTTTTTTTTCTTTTGTTTGAGACAGAGTCTTGCTCTGTCATCCAGGCTAGAGTATGGTGGTGCAATCTTGGTTTACTGCAACCTCTCCCTCCTGGGTTCAAGGGATCCTCCTGCCTCAGTTGTCCTCAGTAGCTGGGACTACAGGTGTGCACCACCACTTTCAGCTAATTTTTTTTCTCCTTTGGTAGAGATGGGGTTTTGCCATGTTGGCCAGTCTGGTCTTGAACTCCTGGGCTTATGGGATCTGCCTGCCTTAGCATCCCAAAGTGCTGAGATTACTGGCATGAGCCACTGCATCCGGCCTGGTTATTCTTTTAGTCACACTGTTTGGACCTTTGTATTATGAGGTAGGTAGAAGTTTGTTTTTGGAAGAATGTAGTGTTCTCTTAGGATGGAGGCTAAATAATTAGAAATATTTAAGAGAATATCTGAAATAGGGACAGGGTGAAATGAAGAGTAGGGACAAAGTGAGAAAGCCATGGGCCCAGAAGTCACGTGATTGCTATTTCTGCTAGAAGAAATCCATGACTCAGGTCACAGATTAACAACACTCCTCTTTCCCTGATGGTTTTCTTTAATAAGAGATAAGACTTCCATGCCAATATTAAGGATATTCCAAGTGAAAATAATTGGACACAATACCAGCCACTTCTATCTTCGTGTGAGTGATTTTTCAGGCTAAGTGTAAGTGACTGAGACTAGTGGGAGTCTGCGGAGGATAATGTAGGTAGGAAACACAATGTAGGTAGAAAAGCACAAACATCAGCCTGGGGCAGAATGACAGGGTGGACCTTTTTAATGTAGCATGGCTTGAGGAAAATCTATTTGACTACACAGATAAAGCTATTTTTGATTTCTAGATTGTCCATGCAATCATTGTCATATTGTTGACATGAGCAACTGAAAATCTTACTCATGTTGTGCTATATACCCATTTTATGCTGACCTGCTGTGACACTGACATCTGTCTTAAATGTATTTGAGTAAATCCATTCATCATGCCATTTTATCTTACTTTGTTTTGGTTGGAGCAAATGGAGCCCACATGAAATTCGTATTTATTTGTCATATAGCATAATTTGAAGGGAAGTCTCTAAGACCTAAATGGATACAACATAATCTGAATGCTACCGAATTAGGGGCTTTGAGAAGTCCTAAAATCGTTTTCCTTTTTCTTAGGTTTCTGGGAAGTAATTACATTTTTTTATTGCATGAATTAAGAAACAGAGAAACAAAGCAGCATTGCCACCTTATAGTAGTCATAATTTAAGACTGTTCTATCATATCCTAAACTTGATTATTTTATTATTTAAAGTTGTGGGGGGCTAAGTAAATTTGTATGTTTATAAGAACAATAAGGTTTTCAAACTATTATTTGAACCTTTATAAACAATTCTGTGGTGTGGTCTATTTGTATTCATTTATAGAGATGCTTGAAAAAGTGTCTTCTATCTTTGTAAAAACCAGGACATTTTGATAAGTCTAGAACCCAGTGGGCCATGGGAATAGTGGAGGAAAGAAGAAGGTATGATTTTCAAAGTAGAAAAAGAGTATTTCTTCTTGTAGTGTCTAATAGTGCTATCTTTTTGCTAGGGGAGAGAGAAGGCAACTGGAGGAGTAGGGGGCATACCTACAAAAAAAAAAAAAAAAAGAGAAGTAGTAGTATGCTGATCTTTGAATTCATTATCAAATGTTTAAAAAGGAAGATTTACATTTGCAGTTGTTCTTTCATTTACTCAGGTGAATGCTAAATCTTACATAGATTGTGAAATGTCATCAGTTTTACTTACTTGATTGCAAGGACAAAAGTGGTTAAAATATACTCATTAAAATATACCGGTAACTTAAAAATTTATTTTTAATGGTGGTACAGTTAATGAAAGCATACTGTATTTTTGTTTGACTTTAAATCTGATGAAATATTTGTTTGCAAAAAATCTCTCTCTCTCTCCCATTTCTCTCTCTCTCTCTCTCCCTCCCTCTCTCTCTCTCTCTCTCTGTGTGGTGTGTGTGTGTGTGTGTGTGTATCCTAAAGGTTTTCTTCCTTTCGACCCATCTCCAGACTAACCGTCTCTCATCCTCTATATACTTCAGTCTGGAAGAGAATAAAACCCTTTGAAAGTTGTTTAAAATCGGCATGAAAAAGGGAAAAAGAAAGTAGTCACTATAATTTAGTATCAGTGTATCTGATTCAACTGTATCTCATTCCACTAATTTGATTAATAATGCTTTTTTATTTATGAGAAATTTCTAAAATAAATGGTAATTATTGCTGTTTCAGCTGGACTCTGAGTTCCGCTTATGTGTTTGAAAATAGCAGGATATAATTTTTGACAATTTCTTAACATTATACTTGAAAGAAATGCAGATAAATATGTCCATGTGAAAGCCATGTTAGAGAGGAAGACAAGTAAATTGTGACAAAAGCTTTTATTTCTCTAACATACAGTTAATTTTTAACTAAGTTAATGCCTGTTAAATTCAAATTACAAAATACATAGTATCCTATCATATGAAAGTGCTTTGCAGCTGTAGGAAGTTGTAATGGTTAATTTTATGTGTCAATTTGACTGGTTCATTGTGCCCAGATGGATGGTGAAACATTGTTTCCGGGGGCATGCATGTGAAGGTGTTTTCCTGAAGAGATTGACATTTGAATTGGTGAACTGAGTAAAGCCGATGGCTTTCCCTAACGTGGCATTGTACAATCCATTGAGAGCCTGATTAGAACAAAAAGGCAAAGGCAGATAGGAGTCACCCTTCCTCTACCTGACTACATGACCTGGATATTGACCTTCTGCCCTTAGTGCACCTGGTTCTAAGGGCTTCAGACTTAGACTAGAATGTAAACCATTGGTTCTCTGGCTGTCAAGTTTTTAAATTGTGCCACAGACTTTCTTGGGTCTCCAGCTTGCAGACAACAGACTGTAGGACTTCTCAGTTTCCATAATGGTGTGAGCCCATACCTTATAATAAATATCTCTTTCTATATCTGTGTGTGTATATATATGAATATATATGCACATAACATATGCATATCAGATTAGTTCTGTTTTCTGGAGAACCATGATTAATACAGAACTCAAATTCTCAAGTTAATAAATATTAAATTGAAATAAGAAAATGGAGGGGGAAAGAAGGAAAAAAGAAATTTTGTTGTGTTTATGATGTCTGTGTTCTAGTGAGCCCCTGGATCTTGCCAGAGCCCTGAGGGGAGAGCTGATGCTGGATTCATCCCTATGTGGAAAACTATAGATTTGTATTGAAGAACATGAGACATAAATAAAGGGCTAGAATACATTTTTGGATAAAAAGAATTAATAACACTAAAATATGAATCTTCTAAATGTTTATATAAAAATGAAATTCATTTTTAATTAGAATCATCAAACTGATGAAGTGTTTAAAAATTTTGTGAAGGAATAAATGGCTGAAATAAGGTAAGATGTTTTTTTAAAGAGAATTAAAGAAAAGGAACTTGCCTTACCATATGAGAACATGCTGTAATTTATTGTATTTGAATCAATATGGCATTGGCATCAGAACAGATCAGTGGAAAAGAATCCAGAATCTGAAAATAGATCCTGGTATGGATGAGAACTTAACATACAGCCAAGGTGGTATTTTAACTCATTGGGAAAATCATGGTTTTTGCAACATATGGTGTTAGCCCAATTGGCTATCCATCAGGAAGTAAATAAAATTGTATCACTGACTTACACAATATAGTCAAATTTGGGATGAATTAGATATTAAAGTTAGCAACATAACAAGAAAAACCAACAAGAAAATCTACAAGATTACAAGTATAAACTAGTGGAAAATAGAGGACCTTTAAAAAAATGTGAATTAAAAAAAATAGATTTGGAAAAAAATATTTGCATGCAGGAGACAGAAGGTTAATACCTATAATAGACAAAGAGTTATTACAAATGACAAGGAGATAATCCAATAGAAAAATGGGAAAAAGAGAAAAATAGGCAAATAATAGAAGAGCTAATCCCCAAAAGATCAAACTTTTTATAGTCAGGCAAGTACAAATTAAACTAACATTTATGTACCTCTCAGACTGGCCAAAACTAAAAAGTAGGAAAGCACCACTTTCTGCCAAAGAATGGTTAGGGGATGGTAGTTTCAGATGTTTCTAGCAAAAATGTAATAACTTACTTTGGAAAGTAATCTTGTAATGTCTATTAGAAGAAATAAATGCATAGGATGCTTTGATCTAGCACTCTCTTAAAAATCTAGTAAAAATAACAGCACCAATAAACATTTATACATAATGTTGACTATAACATTCATAGTGGCAAAGAACTGGAAACGAAGCGAATGCCCATAATAGCACATTAATACCATGGGCTATTTTGTAGCCATCAAAAAGACTGTATTAGAAAGATACTAGGAAACCTGAGGGATTTCCATAATATATGGTTGAGTGACAAAAACAGGATGCTGATAATGTTGTGAAATATCCCAGTTTTGAAACCTATGTAAGATCCACCCACTATAAGTGTATGTGTATTTTGTAAATATATGTAAGTTTATAATCAAAGGAACTTTATCATCTGTTTATCACCACCTGGGTGGTGGTGGTAGTGGCAGTAATGTGTAACAAATTAACACAAATACAGAAGTGTAAAATGACATACACTTACTTTCTGTTTCTAGGGGTTGAGTCTGGGCACAGCTTAGCTGAATCCCCTGCTCAGGATCTTCTAGGTGTTGGCAGGACCGAATTCCCTTCTGGAGCTTAGGATCTTTTTCCAAGCTTGCATTGTTGTTGGTAGAATTAATTTCCTTGGGACTGCCTGCCTGCCGGCCCTATCTTTTACTGGCTGTTGGCTGGAGGCCACCCTTGTATCTCAGAGGCCACCTGCAGTTCCTTGTCACATGGCCCTCTCCATAGGCAGTTGTTGCATGTCCGTTTGCTTCTTCAGTGCCAGCAGGAGAGGCTCCTTGTGCTAAACAGCTAAGATGGAGTCTTACAAAATGAAATACAGTCACAATAGTGACATCCCTTCCCATCACTTTTGCCATATTCTGTTGGCTAGAAGAAAGTTGCATGTCCTACTTATCCAGGGACTGGAGATGATTATGAGAACACGGATCACTGAGGGGTCAAGAGCAGGGTGTGTCTGTTATAGATGGTCAAGCAAACAATGAAAACAATGTTTACAAAAGACCAAAGCCAAATCAAAACCAGAAATGATTAACATGATCTTATTACATAAAATTACATCTATGTGGTGAATAATTTTTAAAAAACAAAGACATTAAGAAAAGAAAATTACTTCTATGCCTCAGACCATTAATAATGTGTATTTCCACAAGCTCTTCTGAGACTACTAATACTATGCATTAATATCATGTACTTCCTTGGGTTTTTCATAATGAATGTCCTCTCGGGTTGGTTGTTTTTCTTCAGACTTTGCCTCTATGTTTTATTCATTCTAACACGATGTTAATAGTCAGAGGATTATTATTTTATGTACTACAATTAAAGGAAAAGAACTCTAGTTAAACTAGGCTTGCTTAGCAAATTAATTATGAGATATATGCCAACTTAAAAATGTTAAAATGTGAAAATATATTTGTTTTAGATTTGATGAAACTACTTCAGTGTATTTTTCCCTCCAGAAAGCTCTCTAGTTTTCATGCTGAAGGTTTTTAAAGGCCAATGGGATACCTCCCTTTTCTCAGACATTGCTTACTTCACATTCTTCTATTTCCTTAAAATGAAAATTAGGAGTAACAATAATTGGATTCAGGCCAAGCAAGGATAAGCAAAGTCCTCTGAAGTCAAGTCAGTGCTGGGTTCAGAGGACCATTTCACTAGGCCACTAGGGTTCCATTTCCAGGTTAACAAATGCAAACTCTCTATCTATATGTGTGTGTGTGCACATAAACTTTTTTTTTCATAGAAGCACTGTTAGAGGTGAAAACAGTATAACTAATAATTTGAATTAATTTATTATTTTTTCTCTTTTGAGATGGAGTCTCTGTTGTCCAGGCTGGACTGCAGTGTCATGAACTTGGCTCACTACAACCTCTGCCCCCCAGGTTCAAGCGATTTTCCTGCCTCAGCCTCCCAAGTAGCTGGGATTACACCACTATGCCTGGCTAAGTTTTTATATTTTTAGTAGAGACAGGATCTCACTGGTTGGCAAGCCTTGTCTTGAATTCCTGATTTCAAGTGATCTGCCCGCCTCAGCCTCCCAAAGTGCTGGGATTATAGGCGTGAGCCACCATGCCTGGCAATTTAAATTAATTTTTAACTTTCAGCTGCAGATGTCTGGAAAATTTTTTTTAGCTAAGCACAGCAAATAGACATAATTATAATATCATGTGTGAGCAATGTTTTTCCTTAGACAAAATGAATGCTAATCAAACTTGAAAAGTTATTTTAAATTATCTGTTGAAGCAATCTTGAATGCACTGAAGGTAACTCAATGGTTTACCTGAAAGAGAGTGTATGTGTGTATATATATATATAAAATAAGACATTTGTCCTTTTGTCTTTTTTTTTTTTTGCTCAAAGGCAATTTCAAATTAGGAAACATTTTTCTTATTGAATCTGCAGGTTGTTGCTAAAAGCTAATGTATTTGTATGATGTTCTCCAGAATAAAGGCAATCATCATGTTTTTTTTCCATACCAGTGCAAGGATTAATATCACAAACTCTAAAATTAGTTTAATATGTTCAACAGGTGTTTGAAATGATTAGAATTTTCAAAAGCAAAGGCCTACACACCTACTTTTAAAATAGCATTTTAAAAAGATAACATTTTAAAATATATCCTTGGCTTTTTAAAAAAAAATTCAAGTATCCTTTGCCTCCATGAAATATTTTGTGGCTTTTAAAGTTTCTCACTAACCTTTCTCTGAATGAATGTTATTCTAGTTTTCACCAGTAAAAAGCTTTAACTAGAACTCTCAAAATCTATTTACATTTGCTGTTTCAAAGTGAGCTGAAGATATGGTTATCTGGTGTTTAATGTTGCGTTTAGTTTTGGAAATGCATGGGGGCAAATCAGACATAGTGTCCAGCTACAGTTTCATTTTCAGTCACTTCCTGCACTTCCAACATGTGGAAGCCCTGCAGATTTCAAAGGCAGCAGGGAGCAGCAGGTGAGCAGGATCAAGCTACCAGTTCCTGCTTTGTCAGCGTTACCATTCTGAGGTGTTTTTTCCTTTCTGTCTGCCTTTCTCTTTGGTCTTAGGCATTGCTTGAATTTTATCTTGTAAATCTTTCTAGTTCCCTTTCTTCTCTTTTGTTTTTCTCACACACAGGAAACAGTAGATGCCAGTGCTATGGCTTATGTTGCTGTACATGAGGAAGGATGTCTTTATTAGTAGACATCAAGGTTTGAGCCTCTTTTCTTTTGAGCTACAAGTATGTGACCATTTGGGCTTTTAGCCCTGCACCCCTCAAAAGTACATATTGGCTTTAGGATATCATGTTATACTGACAACTTGAAAGCAATGTAAACTGAACTCACATTTTCACATTTTTCTGTTATTTAGTCTGTTCCCACATGAAACCTGAAAGGAAATTTAGAGTGTCTCAGCACTAGTGAGATGGTCCTGTATCCATCCATTCAGCCAAGAGTAATTTCCCTAACCTAGTATAAATTCGTAATACCTCTATCCTGTTCCCTAAAGCAGAGAGATTTTGTCAAGGTATGGTTCCTGCATGTAAGAAAGTGCCCGCAACTTAATTAATTGTTAAGAGTCCAGAAGAGACAACAAATATTTGAAAGAAATAGTCAGAAAAAGTCAAACTAACTACCTAATTCTCCAATCTCTATACCTGTGTTAGGTCAGGGCACCAGAACATCTTGTATTCCTGGGAGGACCACCTCACCTCACTGTCATTATATGGTATTTTATAGGATTTTGTCTTTGCTCAGGTTGCTATAATAAAATACCATAGAGTGGATGTTAACAATTCATTTCTCACAGTTTTGGATGCTGGAAAGTCCAAGATCAGGCTATAGTCATGGTCAGGATGTGGTGAGGGATCTCTTTCTGGCTTGCAGACAGCCACCTTCTTACAGTATCTTCACATGGCAGCAGCTCTGGTGTCCCTTCTAATCTCATCATTAATCCCATCATGAGTGTTCTACCACTCTCATGATCTCATCCAAATCTAATCACCTCCTAAAGGCTCCTCTTTTTTATATCATTACACTGGGGATTAGAGCTTCAACATGTGAAATGTTGGGGGACACAAACAGGGGTTGCAAGGGTAACATTAAGGTTGAATGGTAGGGGACAGCTGAAGTATGGAAAGTGGGCTGGGGCTAGCTAGGTTTGCTGGGCTCCCTGTGGACTAGCTAATTTGAATAGTTTCTCATCTCTGGGGCATGGGGGCTGTTGCTGGTTGTCTGGTACCTGGCCCCAGAGCAATTAGGACAGGTGCAGGTTCTTAGAGCCCAATAAGAAAAGTGGTTGAGGTTCTGAGAGCCCAGGTTCTGAGAGCCCAATAAGAAAAGTAGTTGAGGTATAGACATAATAATCGGCTGCTCAAGAAGGGAACTGACAGGCCTCTAGCTAGGACCTGAAAACTGGCTCAAGACAGACAGAATTAAAAAAAAATTATATTGCTCATGGTTGCCAGGAACAGATTTCATATAACTCAGCTTTCATTGGGGTTGATATAAGGGTTGGCCATAAGAGAAAGGTTTCTGCATCTTTTAAAAAGTGCTATTGGAAATAGTGTTCATTGGTCCCCATGATATCAATGTAAAGATTTACCATATAAATTCCTCTTAGCATCTAGTGCTATTGACAAATGTTTCTGAATCCATCTGTATGTGAGTATCTGATTATTGGCTAACAAATGTGGTGGCTTCTGTTTCTCCTTTTGAGTGCAGACCTTTTCAATAAGCAGCAGCAGCCAGGAGTAGAGGTGCCCATCTGTGCCTTGAGTGTAGTGGCTAGCAGGAAGCTTATTATGTATTTTTAATCAGGAGACACAAAGTTAAATTTCTTGTGGCCGATATTGAGCAGGCATTTATCTTTTTTGGATTTCAATGTAAAATGGGAATAAAACCTGTCTTATTATCTACAGGGTTTGTATAATGTTCAAACTAGCTGATGGTTGAGAAAGCTTATGCCAGGGTATTTCATTAAATAATAATGTAATCCAAATAACCTAGGCTGTAGCCTGTGGGCAGAAATGAAGTCATTGGCATTAACATCCAAATAAAGACAGTTTTTTGTAGTTACAGCCTGCTCATGCAGGACCTGCTTTCAACTCCCAAGGCTCTCTCTTTGTATCCACATATCTTCTGAAGATGTCTTGTAGGTATTCAGGGGTCTTTGTGCCCCCTCACTAGTGCCCTTTCATGAATGGCTCTTCTGCTGTTACCTGCTATGAGGACATTCTCTTCTGTGCATTGGAAGTCAGGTTGCTGCTAACAACCCTGAGCCCCAGGCCGTGACCCTAGTCTGTGGAGGAGCAGGTAAAATATCACCTACTTTAATATTTTTTTTTCCTGTCTCTTGGGCCCTGTGACAAGACTTCTTGAGACTCCTCATGCCTGGAATGAAACACAGGCTCTCCTAGAGAAGTATACTACGTCTTTCTGCTTTCAAACTTCTTTCCATAGAGTTGCTACACCAGTCCATTGGCTAGGCAGGAAGGATGGTAATTGTGCTGTCACCTCCATCCTCATTTCTTTCCTCTCATTAGTTTCCAAGTTGAGCGTATGCACATGCCCACCTAGTCATATCTTTTCCTTCTCCTTCTTGCCAGATCTTAAAGCATTTATGGATGTCGACTCATGCACAGAGATAATGGCAGTTTTAGTT